TTTAGGCGAAGCAAAAAGCTCACACATTTCTTCCCAGTTTTCTTGACTAGCACAAAAAGAGGGCTTGTTATTCTTAGCTTCTTCATGAGACGAATATTTCTTGTAATGTTTATGTAGTCTGTAACGTTTTTGCCGTGAACTAGCTTGGACTCTATCAATCACGCAACGTTTCACACCCGGATCATCCAAATTAATATCCATGTGGATCTACACAAATAAAAATGAGATTATTTAAGGTGATATAAATAATGTATTCATGCGACTTGAAAAGTGTTTCTACTTTTTACCTTTATATGATCAATGCCAGGTTGAAGATCTTTTTCTTCATCGACATCTTTCCACCTTACTGGCACCGGAAGGACATCTCGGGTGACTACACCAATTTGACTAGAAAACTTTGAAGACTCATCTCTACTTTTAGGTCTTCCTATCGATGGATCCACGGTTACCTTCATTTTTTTCCCGCAAGCCTGGAATGCTTTCATAATGCCTTTGCCCATAGTTTGTCCACGTCTTTTCTTAATGGTGGTATTGGAAGCTGCATATACACCACTCAGTTATTTTAATTAGTCAAAAGCATCACACTCATAAGATTGTAATTTATTGAACTTTGAAAGGCAAAGGCACATGTATTTTAATTTAAAAGAGCAGAGCATGCATGTTTTTGATATTATACAAATCACTGGAGTTTCAAACTAGATTCAATGACACATTTATCAACATTTAGCAAATAACCGAGGTGAAACTGAGGAATTCTGCAAAACATATTTTCAGACTATAATAAGACAAACCAAATTAGAAACAGGGATAAAATTGTAAAACATCTCTTATAAACCACCAGACACGTGTATTTTTATTTTGATTCAAAAGAGGAGAGCAAGCATGTTTTTGATATTATACAAATCACTGGAGTTTTAAACTAGATTCAATGACACATTTATAATCAAACTAGATTCAATGACACATTTATAAACATTTAGCAAATAATCGATGGATTCTACAGAACAAATTTTTAGACTATAATAAGACAAACCACATTAGAAACAGAGATAAACTTACAAAACAATCTCTTATAAACCACCAGGAACATGTATTTTGGTTCAAATGAGCAGAGCAGTCATGTTTTTTATATCATACAAATCACTGGAGTTTCAAACTATATATTTTTTTTTTCCAAAACGAAAACAAAATGCATTAAACTCAAGCAAATGTCCACAACTGATTACATTACAATCCTATCTAGTCTAAACTAGACAGTAGTTAGTAAACTGGCTAATCACAACAAGGATTTCCCTCAACGACCAACTTGGCCACCTACTCCTAACATAACAAAGCAGAAGAAAGAACAAAAACACAGTGCTTAAAAATTTGTTTCAGATACAATACATCATTTAGAACTGTAGATAATGAAGATAGCAGCAAACTTTTTCCATGAAGATTTTGCAGTAGCTATTGTTCTTGAATATTGCATTGCACCTCTGGCCATTCTTCTCTCTTGGAATTACACATTTATCAACATTATTGAATTACACATTTATCAACATTTAGCAAATAACCGAGGTGAAACTAATGAATTCTACAGAACAAATTTTCAGACTATAATAAGACAAACCACATTAGAAATAGAGGTAAACCTATAAACCATCTCTTATAAACCACCAGGTAAATCCACCCACCAGGTTACTCATTGTTGTTAACATGGACAAAACATCAACCACATAGAAGAATCTATCAATTATCACACCAACAATTGCCACTACCACTCAACAGGCACATATGTCACACCAACAATATGAATGAGCACACATTACTCCGACGCCAAGTAATCGGATTTTCAACAACAAATTATCACATACGGCAACTACAGCATGTTTATCATATTTTTGCAACTGTAAAATCGCAACGGTTTTGGAGATTCTTACCAATGATATCTGCCTGAGGTGATTGAGTATGTTGACTTCCCTCTTGTAATGATATCAGCCCAGCCAGCACCTTGCCAGCAGCTCAGTGAGCCACCAGCTGGCCCAGGTGCAGTCGTGCCGAGTTGAGCCGTTTTATTATATTTTGAACCCTAATTACTTTAATCGAGCCTAGATTAATTCTTTAGCTGAGTTCTAGGAATTCTTTTAAGTCGAGCCTAAGCGAGCTTAGAAATTGAGAAAATTTTTGAACTTAAGTAAGACTTTCCGAGAACTATAGACGAGCTTAGAAAAGTCTAGAGAAAGAGTTAGAAGATTTATTTGTTTCTAATTGTCACTATGTGCTTTATTTGCTTTTAATTGTTTTATTTACCTTATTTGCGTTGTTTGCCTTATTTCCCTGGTTTGTTCTGCCGGTCAGTCAAAACCAATATTAATAAGATTAAGTTAATTTAAATTGTAGATTAAGAGGAGTCGAGCCCTCAATCAGACGCACGTGCATTTTCATACATTTCAGACAACTAGTAAGTTAAAGGTGGGGATTTATTTGCTATGCCTTATTCTTAATAATTACAAGAAATTTATAATTGATGTATGTTTGTGAGTATTTGCCTAATTGTAGGCAATGCATGAGCGTAGGCATCAGTTAGATATCCCGTCATGGACAACACCTGAGCGTAGGCAATGCCTGAGTGGAGAGGGTTCCATATATCCGACGATAAAAATGTGCACACGAGAGAGTTCAGTACAGACCAGTTATTCATTTATATGCTGAGATTATGGTGTTCGTGTTGGATTTTCGACGTACGAATCAATCTCACGCGCAACGGAATTTTAAAATTTTCTTACCAACAATGAAGATCCGGCTATAGCTATTCGATATGATCCTAGATCGCATGAATAGTTAACGAAAACTTATAGTTTAAGCTTGGTCTTCAACTAGGGTATCAACGCAATCCAGATCCCGGTGCACGATCCAACGCAATGAATCTTTTCTGGTGAAGACGCTAGGAATCCTCCGTCAGAAAGCAAGAGAGTGTTCTGTTCTTACGGCGTATCTCTCTTCTCTCATCTAATGATCGTTGAAGACTATCATGAGATAATGACCTATTTATAATTAGGTCTAACCTAATTATATGGTCCGTAGGAGATCCTATGGCCCAATAAGTAATTGGACTTAATCCAATAACAATTTAATTAAGTATAAATCTAATTTCACTTGATTAAATATTTTCTATCCAATAGAAAATAATTTCATTACTCATAAATAAATATTCCAATCCAATTCAATATTTAATACTCTAGATTCACTCTTAACCGGAAAATAGATTGCATATTGTGTGACCCTATAGGCCTTCATATATTGACATAAATCTAATTTATGATCCTTACGAAACTCCTAGACTGCGTCGAAGGACGAACTCAAAATATAAAATACGTTTACATAGACAAAGCAAACAAACCTTTGGTGTAGAATTCAATAGTGATACGGTCCTTTCATTCACGAACCACTCGATTAAGCTTAATACTTGAACGTGTGTCAATCCAAACAGCTTAATCATTTTATCTTATCTTACTGGTTGATTTTATCAAATTATATTTGAACACCATTTCAAATATAATCACGTGCATTGACCAATGACTTATCAACCCAGTATAGAGAAAACGAGTATCCTCTCGAAACCATATTCGAGGAATGAATCCTATATTGGCTCAACTGCCAATTCCATGTATATCGTGACCAACCCAACACAAGCCTGTATCTACCCATAAGGGCGTAAGCTTTTGACTAGGTCTAAATAAATCACTCTATACATGAATTGCGTATTGACCTCAAGCCAAAGGACTATTACACCATTCCACACACCGATACTACCATAGACACATAAACAAATGGTTTATCGGTAGGGTATACCAATACTCTCCAAAATATCCATGTGTCCATCACGAATAACAATTATTCATAGTAGTGAGACATACTATATTCTCTAAGAATGTGATGCAGACCACATGCCAATCTATTGCGTATCATTATTATCCCTTTCTTAATGATCATCGATTGAGGCTATTTGAGAGTTATATTTGATCAATTAACATCTCACTCTGTTAATGACAGTACTAACTCAAGAGAGCAATTAATTAATAAATTGCAAACAATCAAATAATTATTTAATTTATTGCAATACCACTATAATTCAATATAATTATTAATGTGATCATGTATATATATCTCATCAAAAAGATTGTCTCTAGGACACATATACCAACAATATGTTATTATCATGAATAATCGCATAGTATAGATTATCATGATGGGCTAGTTTTTTTGCTCACCCCCCACAATTATCATTTTCAGGTTAAGCAGCTGACACCGGACGAGGGGCAGCGGTGGTTATTTCTATGAGTTGCAGGTTTATGATTCCACTTAAACATTTTCCAAACTTGTTATTTCAAATGTTGTGAAACTATGTTTGAATGTGGAGATTCAATTGTTTCTTTTCAATTAAAGAATAGTATTCGATCGTTCTGCTTTGTCTTAATTGATTTGAAAAAGAAAATAAGTTTGAAAAAGAAAAGTCTCACAAAGTCTTCATATTTTGAATACAGGGTGACTTATAGAGACTCTAAAAAAGTTTTAATTGAATACTCTGAGACTTTTAATGACTTTTTAAAAGTCCTTAAAAGTCTCAATTGAATACATGTAAACTTTTCAGAAGTCTCTAAAAGTTCTAATTGAATACACCAGGATTCTGAAAGTCTTAAAAAGTCTCTAAAAGTTGAAATTGAATACACCCCCCTTAGATTAAGATAAGAAAGAAAGAGTTTTTAAGTAATTACCCTAAGATGAGTTTTAAAAAGTTAAATTAATTTTGAAAAGCTCAAAGTTCTTTTAGAAAATCAGACATTTTCAAAGTATAAATAGAGGGAATTTATATTATGGTCCTCTCTTTTCATCCCGGTTGTATGAACTGTTTATTTCGTTTGGTTGAATCAGATTTTATATCGTTTGAAACAAAAAAATAATGGAAGGAAAACGGTCAAGGTTCTCAACTAAAATTTGGTTCCCAGCAATTTTTTTTTTTTTTATTTTATTATTATTATTATTTACACAATAACCCTTGAACATAGATAAGATAGCGCGTATTTAATGAAAGAACATACAGAAAAGAGCACAACCTGTAGATAGAAAACAAATATTTATGCTACAAGCAATAGAGTAGGCGTTGAGCGAACAAGATTGGTAAATGAACAAAGTTTCATTCGATTTAATTCATAATGTTCAAAATTCTACGATCATATGTTGTTTGGCACTGATGATTGAGTTCGACCCTTAAGAAAGTGCCACGGTCCTGTTCCTGTTCCCATCCTGTAAAATAAAATTTTATAATATATAGCATGTTATAATCTTATGTAAAGATTAATTACAAAATAAATAAATAAAACCTTGAAGTCTATTTACAGAATGATCAAGAAAATTTTCTAAATTACAGATATTCCTGATTAATTGACTGGGTATCAATTAACTAAGAACTAACAGGAATATAAGTATTTATGGATTATCAAATTAACGATTTAATTAATTATAACTAAAAACTTTAGAATACCTCCAGAAACCAGCAAATGTTCTTAAGCTCATGTAAATGGTCAAAGCAAGCCATATACCAACAAAACCATTACTTTTAAACAGCACAAACAAGGATCCAATGCTTACAATGGACACAAGAACCTGAAAATTTGGAAGCAAAAGTCAATAATTAAATTACAATAATGAATGGTATTGGCTTTTGTGGTTGTTATATATTCATATCAGAAAAAGGCATAAGGCCAAATAAATTACCATGGAATATGCAGAATATGCAAAGTCAGATGCTCCAAAATTAACACCATCAAACACAAATGCCAAGGAGTTTATAGGTTGTGTAGCTGCAACAAACTGAAGAAAAAAAGAATGCAGTTAGATAATGTAAAAGAAAATACTTAAGAAAAGACGACAATTTTCCATGTTGTCGATTTTTCAGATTTATAATAATTCGCATTTTACCGGTATTCCAATGGCGATCATTTGAATAACATTTTGATTCTTGGTAAATATTCCTGATCCAAACTGAAGTCCGAGTCCCACAAATACAGCAAGACCGAGTCCTAACACGAATCCCATCTGCAAAATACAATAAACGCAGAGTGTAATTACAAATAATTGAGCTTATTGCTGAAATATTTGGTGAAAGTTTTCACAAGATTTTGTTTTCTTTAAGGTTGCTGACTTATAGGACATGAGATGGACATGGGAAAGACTATCTTTTCTTTTTTCTTTTTATTGTTATACTTACACCACCTATTTGGACCAATATTCACCACTTTCCTAGCTTTATTTATGTAATAATTGATACTAAATAGACTTATGTTCAAACTTTACTCTGTATTTGGAGAAAATAAAGTACCTGAAGCACTCGAGCGGCAGCAGCTGTAGCTTTCTGATAGTCTTTCTCAGCGAAAGCACAAGCAAGAATTGCCTACAAAGTCATCACCAAATTATTTATGGAGAATACTAATAAACACCAATTCCTGGATTTGTGAAAATTAATTTCAGCTTATTTATTTCAAATATAGTTTCTGTTTTTGTACCTGTCCAGCAACTGCCAAACCATCAGCAAGTAGAGATGACGTCATCCACACCTGTAGACATATCTGAAAGGCGGCCATTGGAGTTGCTCCAAGCCTTGCCGCCATTGAGGCTGCTAAAGTCACACAAATTGTCACCGCTATAACTCTTGCTAGCAAAAGGAAACCTGATTTTTTTAAACATGTGATGAGTTAAATATTATGTGTAAGGCTAAT